TTCGTCCCACACCACGCCGCTCCTCTCCGCGTCGCCTTCACTGGCTTCCGGGGTAACTGCCTATTTCTGCGAATCTAACTTCCAGACAATGGTACTTGCGTACCATGCTGCAAATGGATCTGGCCCTTCCTACATCCAGGACATGGTTAAATTGTACACCCCAGCACGTGCACTCCGCTCTGCATCGGCCAAGCGGCTCGCTGCACCAGCACTGCGAGGGGGACCCAAGTTCCCATCAGCAAAAACACGTCGGTTTGCTATCCTGGCTCCAAAATGGTGGAATGAGCTCCCCAATGACATCGGGACAGCAGATAGCATACACATCTTCCGGCGCAGACTGAAAACTCATGTCTTTCGACTCCACTTCGAGCGATAGAATTACTAACAAAGAATTACTAACAAAGCACTTATATACTAACAAAGAACTGGCTTATCTGAAGCCAGTTGAGTAGCACTTGAAATGTTTTGGCTCTATGAAACCTGATGTACTTACTGTATATGATTCTGTTTTCTTCAAGTTTGTATCTCCTTGGTCGAATGGACTTTGGATAAAAGCGTCAGCTAAATGCAATGTAATGTAATGTGTATGTTGGAGAGAGACTTTGGGAAATGTGGATTTTAGCCTTTGCAGACCATTAACATGCACAAGACCCTATGCAACACACTACAGGGAAGGGAAACCCCCAACAAGCATAATAGGCACCCTTTACATATCCAATAATGCATCTTTAACTAACAGTTAAAACCCTTAACTATATATAGTTGCACACAGACACACGCAAATATAACTTACCTATGAGTGGCACTGCAAGAGAGGTGGGTGGCACTATCTTTGATATCAGCAGCAAGAACACAGTGAGGGCCAGCAGCACTGAGATGCACAGCGTGTTCTTCTCCCTACAATCAGACGGCAGGTAGAACACCAGGATAGCCAGAGACGTGATCAGCACACACGGGATGATCAGATTAATGGTGTAAAACAGCGGCTTCCTCTTGATCACAAAATCATAGGTTATATCCAGGTAAGTGATGTCATTGGGATCCTCGTTTTTGCGCGCCGGGAGCGAGACAATGTCCCACTCCCCGCTTGGCGTGAAGTCGTCCCGGCTGGCGAAGTCGCTTGTGAGGCTCAGGTCCAGCTCCGTGTGGTCGTAGGTCCACGAGCGGAACTTGAGAGTGCAGTTCTGCTGGTCGAAGGGGAAGTTCTGCACCTCGATGGCGCAGGCCGACTTGTAGATGGCGGGCGGAAGCCAGAAGATGTCTCCTGTGTTGGAGACGACAGCGTTGCAATAGAAGGACACTTCGTACACACCGTCAACACTGTAAGAGGTTGTGGGAAGATGTAAGATTAGAGTGTGGGAAATCAGAGTTTAAATGCAACACTTAAATATGGACTATTTCAAGTCAGCTAACTGTCAATAAAGTAACAATGACTTTCAAAAAAATTACAGGATTTGCAATACTGGATGAGAAATATCGATGTGGTTTCTTATTAAGGCTCGATGATGATGGTATGCTATCAATAGCGCAATGTAAAAGAAGAAAAAACTCCACTAAGGCAAATCCTGGTGAAATATTGTCTTAATGCAAGCGTCTAATTAGAGACGTTATACCACTACTGCATCTATTTTCAATGGAAAAGTGCTTAATGGGCATTATATTTAACGCTTCAAGGGTGATGTTCTTTCTCCCGGATTACGGTAGCAGTTTCAATCACATTCATGACAATGAAAATGAAACAAAAGTACAAAAATAGTTGGCTAGGCTGAGTAAGATGGAGCTTTATTAATAACCGTGGGGAAATTCAGAAGTTGCAACAGCAACAAGGTAAGGATGAAAAACAGGACAGCACAGATTCACACAGGTTAATACAATTAAAGATGAAATCAAAGATAAAAATAAAAACATGACAAACTATGAAATAAGAAATGAATGAAAATGAGCATAATATACATATTGGGTCATATGACCAAATATAAGAAATGAATTAAGAAATGAATTAAAATTAAACTATAGACATATTGGGTCAAATATACATATTAGATATATTTACATGAATGTGTGGAAACAGTGTGTATTTGTGTCCAGTAATTGTGTCACATTGTTGACCCCTTGTTGTGCAGCCTGATGGCAACAGGCACAAAGGATTGTCCGAGGCGCTTGGTGCTGTGCCGAGGAGGGATGAGTCTGTGGCTAAACGTGATCAATGCATGGCTTAAAATAAGTTACGATCCCTTATTAAAGTTACAACAGTACACAAACGGGGGTAAAGTCTTTGTATGACCCTTCAATCCACCGAGCCTAAAAACACAAACTTCCGCAGACTTTGAATCAATATGTGATAAATAAAATCACAAATACAAACCTATTTGGGGCAAAATAAATTTCCCTAGAAGCGTAATTGATAATGCTGTTCTGTTGTATGGGGACGAAATTTTTCCGGAGACCAGGAAAATCTATTTTTGCTTCATTGCAATTATAATAATCAAACAAACCCACACTCTCCCCCATGATTGTCTAAAAGCAGACGTTGATTAAGCAATTCCTAATCCCCTTCACCTCAGCAAAAAAATTTAAAAACAAACTAGGCTTAGAAGAGAGAGAATGCTGAACATTTAATTACAAAATCCCTATAGAAAAACAGGCTTATTTTGGCTACAGATTTTCTGCTTTTAACGGCCGATGGCAATTTTGGAAAACCTCTTAATGATATACTGTAAATCCACTAATACCATACTGTAATCCATTAATAAGAGGCTGCCACACACAAATGCACACAGGCTGAAAATGTTATATTTACTTTTCCATTCAACCGGTTTTAGAACAACATAATAGAACTAGATGAACAACTAAACTGGTTTCCACTTTCGTTGGATGACGTGCACATACTTACTTGTTGTAAAGCACTATATCCGGAAGCCAGATGTGTTTGGATGGTATTCTCAGTTTTTTGATGCCTTCGTACTTCTCTGGGTCCCATCTTAGCCTATAATCATTCCACTCCTGCAGAAATAGTGTTAATAAATTATGTCACTGACAGAATCACCCACATACTGTATGTTGGGCATACTGGGCACGCTAGATAAAAAATGATTGTACCTGAAACAGCCACAAGTTGGTCGTCATGATCTGTTCTCTTTCATTCTAGAAAAAAACAATGATATAATTTACATAAAACTTAAACTTTATAAAATAAATGGATGAATTATTATAGTGCTGTCTACTGGCAGTGTTTTTAGTCAACGCAGAAACATAAACCTTTTCTTCATCTGCATTACTTTCACATTGGTCTTGCTCAGTGTTGGGACTAACGCGTTACTGTAACGCAACTACTTTTTGCGGTAACTAACAGCGTTACTAGTTACCTATTTCCATTAAGTAACGCCGTTATAGTTACTGTGATTTAAATCGGTGCGTTACTGCGTTACATCCTGTGATGGAACTCAACCGAATCTCCCTGCGGATGTAACTTAAAGGCGAATACAGCGATGTCCTCTCACAGCAGCATGGAAAAGTGAAAGTGACCAGAGAGGAGTGATGATTGNCCCCCCCTTTTTTTTTTGGGACGTAATGGGCCTGTTAAAAAAGAGTGAAACCTTGTGTTGTTAAAAGACTTATTCCTGGTTTCTTTGACATGTGTTTGAGTGTGTTTCATTATATATCTATGTATATCATTACATACTGGCAAATGGTGCTGCTACATTTTGTGGCTCAACGTAGTGGTAAGCTTTGCAGGACACTGTGTGTTTGTGTGGGTGTGTCTGCATGGGTAGAGGGTACACTCTTTGCCAAAAGGCATTTCCTAATTTACTACCTGGCAATCCTCAGTGTGCAGGAAGCACGCCATCCAGGGATTCATAAATCTTTGTAACACACAGGTTATTGCTCTTTTTATGTTGAAATTCTGCTTGCCTTCGAATGTTACAAACAGTGTTTGCTTTAACAACACAATCTGTTCTACACAACAGCCATTTGTTTTATGGACTATATAAGTTTCCGAGTTACACTCACGAGCAAGAGACAGACAGGGAGAGATATAGCTGAGCATAATGAACTGCCTCCCTCCCCAATAATCTACAAAGTGACATCAGCACCATATTTAAGAGGGAAAAAAGTGAATTATGTAAAATGTCTGGCAGTATTTCCTAACCTCATATTGCTGTGGTAAATCATTAGAGAGCATCATTGAGATTTCTGCTACAAACACGGATGTTTCATGAATCTGAGTTTCTGTAATTGTGTGTACAATGTATAATGCCTATGTGTACTTGTACCATTAGAATAAGCTATAGCCTTCCTTAATGATCCTGATGTGTCTTTCTTTTACGGGTCACTGTCTACCTATTTACTCATAATTCTACTAACAAACATTTCTCTGACCTTTTGCGTGTCTCACAAAAGCAATTAGCTATTTATTTTACCATAAGCATAAATTAAAACGTCTCACGCCAACTTTTTTCTTACTGTATAAAAGCATTTACCAGAATGGTTTGTAGAAATCATAGACCCAAAAGTAAAACAAGGCAACAAATGCACCAAAAAAGAAAAAAAATGACAAGTTTTGAACTTTCCTTCACCCTCAGTATCTTTAATATCTGCAGGCTTTATACCAACACTTCCTGACGTGTGAGTGAAACGTCCATGACAGGTAGCGAAAAAAGTTGACACCATTCTCTGCCAGACAAATATGTGAAATGGGACGCACCGTTTTGGAAATAATGTAGGGGCATATAGTAAGATCTGGGCCTCTCTAGTTAACAGCCACCGGCAGCAGGAAAGGACCTCAGATTGGCATGCTTGTCAAGTTAAATATGTGCACGGCCTCCTGACAAAACCCAACGGTTCCCATGTGTGTGCACTCGTGTGGCAAAGCAACTGCTGTTAGGGCAAGATTCTGTGTGTGTGTGTGTGTGTGTGTGTGTGTGTGTGTGTGTGTGTGTGTGTGTGTGTGTGTGTGTGTGTGTGTGTGTGTGTGTGTGTGTTGTTATGGTAGTATAGAAGAGAGGACGTTCGGGAAGAGAAGGATAAGGGGTGGTGAGGGAGGCTGAAGGGCAGTAATGGGGTCAGCCTCAAAGGTGAGGACTATAATCCATCAGTAACCTTTCCTCCCACATACACAGCATATACAGCCATGTGCAGCGCATGCATGTGTGCACGTAAGCACACATAAACACACTCACTCTCATGTAACCCCAGCATCAAACCCTCAGCCCAGCGTCTGTTGTTTGATGAAAACCAGAATGCCCCTCCAGATCACACAAATCCCCCTTTAACTTTCCAACAACTTTAGCATTATAGGCCAAACTGTGTGTCTGTGTTGACAATATTTAATGCCCAGGGATTATCCTCAGAGTTCAACAAAGAATTCAGACCGCTGCCGTCTCAGTGTGGGTTTACACAAGCTTTTGATGGATACCCCTGAATCTATTAACCAGCTGTGTACTGTAGGTGTAGATGTGCCCTCTGGTGTGCTGCATCACTCTTTAGTGCTCTGTAGTTTCTTGTTAATTGTACCAGGATCCATCTTGGTGCCAGCTGGAAGGGATGGAATATCCCAAGCTGTCACCGGCAGGTTGTTCTTAAGCCCCAAAACCCAGTGTTCATATTCAGTTTGTACACTATAGTATTGAGCTGAAAATGTTTGCATCTCTTTTCTCCAGTCACCTAATGAGATGTTCAACAAGTACACAGCAAGCGACCAGGGTGCCAAAACCAGAGGAAAACCGCATAAGCTCTAAGGTTTGCATTTCTTTTTCTAACACAGAAATTGAATGATCGCCTTTTTCCTTTTTAACAGCGAACTAAAGAGAATAACCCAAGAACGTACGATGCTGTTGTAATAATTCATTTTTGGTGGTTGCCACATTGCTTAGAGGCTGTACAGGCATTGAAACTGGGCTGGCCTTACTAGTGAGGAATGAGAGCTTTAAACCTCCGGCCAGGTTCTGCCTGGAACAAGGCAATCTCCTTCGCTCACTGAGCCTGCATTTTTAATGAGAACATCTGCTCCGGTGGCCCTCTGGTGGAACCAAGGCTTGCTTAATCACACAGTCGAGCCCCTCAAGTCCCTCGCAGAGGGATCTGCTCAGCCCAGTGATCAGACAGAGCCGGCCACTTCGGACTACAGCAGAGCTGGTGGGGAGAGAGGAAAAGGGGGTGGAGAGGGCATAGCGGATGTATTATATTTGATGCAAAAGAAAATCCATAGATAGTAGAAGTTAAAAGAAGACAATTAGAGAATATATCTGAAAGGAGAGTAGGGGGAGATGCAGACAGAGGTCTATTAATGTGATAACTGCACTAGCCAAAGCTTATTTCTCTCATTTGGGCCTCTGTCCACACATCCTGCCCCTGAAAATTGACCCTTTTAAAAGTGCTCGAAAGTAAAGGTTGGTGTATTTGTAACTGGATGGTCTAAATGAAAGGAAGCTTATCTAAAATGCTGTTACCTATATACATTGTTGCATAAAGGCCTTATTCTTTATACAGAAACAGTTAGAGCCTGTTTGTATTGCCTCCAGCTCCCCCCTCATCTCTTTCTGTGTCTGTTGTTATATGATTGCACAAGCATGAGGGGGTGCTGAGCCTTATTTCAAAGGGTTAGATGTATAACAAATGTACCCCTGAACAACTGTTATAAAGGGAAATTAGCCAGAAAAAAACCTTCTTCGGGCAGTGCTGTTGGAAATGCAATATATAATATATGTATACATTTTTTTTAATGAACAAACAGTTATTAAACTGACTGTTTTTCTCATCAGGTTAATTTGAAATATTGTCTTCTCCCTATTTTCAGCTGCAAAAGTAAATTGTACTGTATTAGGAAGAGAAAGCTGTTAAAGCTGAAATTAAACAGCAATGAGCTTTCTTATTAAAATATAAATCTCTACTGTAGCATGTTGTTGGGTTTTTGCTCCAAAGTGGCATGTTAAATGAAGATTATAATTCTATATGTTACCAATTCGCAACTAGTAGTATTGGACATTTTATAAGAGGCAAGCTCAATGGAGTATATGCGTTTTACCCCAAAAAGATATGTGAGGTTAACTTGTCGATATTTCTAAAGACTAAAATGCATAAAACATTTAATATTCCATATCCACATTTTATTGTTTCAATTATCTCTTTAGTTCTTGCCTTGTTTTTGTTGGGCTTTCCACATCTTCCTGATTAAACAAGCACTTTAAATTGAATCACTCCAGTTCTTACCATAGAAGGAGCACAAGTTTGTGTGTGTGTGTGTGTGTGTGTGTGTGTGTGTGTGTGTGTGTGTGTGTGTGTGTGTGTGTGTGTGTGTGTGTGTGTGTGTGTGTGTGTGTGTGTGCTGCGCATGCGTGTCTTGGCACATGCAAATTACATCTGTATATTAGCCTGTTAT